GAGGATGTTTCTATGATTTTTTTGACATTCAAGTGTTAACTGTAAATTTTAGATTCTTCATAGACTGTTATTAATATCTTGATTAATGTTGTTTTAAGTTTTGAAATGTTAGGATGTTTTTTATAATTTTAAACTTTTCAGGATATTTTGTGTAATTTTAAAACTTTTAGGTTTTTTTTTTGCAATACTTCATGTATTATAGTATATTAGCTAAATATAATTTCTTTATCTTAACAAACTAATACCGTAAAGCTATTGTATATATTTTATTAATATTTTTTAAATTATTGAGTTATAGATAGTTCACGTAAGATTAGGATATGATATAATTATAATTAGGATGGATTAAGATATAAATAAATATACAAAATAGTGAAGGGTAATATTGACCATGAAAAGATTTTTTCGAATTTGTGCTTTTAAATGGAGTATGACTAAGTGGAATGCACGTGCAATGCGCGTGGTACGTGCCTGCACGTGGTCAAATATTATAAGGACAAATTTTTGAAACCGACCTTTTTTCAACTTTATTGGGCAAAATCGACCACATGGGAAAAAAATAGGCAAAACCGACCCTTTTCAAAAGAAAAGGGTCGGTTTTGCAACTATGGAGGTTTTACGAAGTGCACGGGACTACTAGTCCCGTGCACTTCGTTGTCAAGAGAGATTGCTGGAAACAAAGTGCACGGGACTAGCAGTCCCGTGCACTTTGTTTCCAAGAGCCCTTCAATTCAAATGTCTAGTTGCCTTCTATTACCTTGGAAAGACCTCAACTATTCCCTTGTTTATAGAAGAAAAATGGGTATTGGTTACTGTTTCCATTGGCTATGATGCACGCGAAGGTCATCATCTTAACCTTCCCCATTTTATCAACTCTCTCACATCAAGCTTGACAATTTATTATATAATGTTGGTTCGGTGGGGGGCAATGAGCTTTCCCTAGCTAGCAATTCACCAATTGATATTTGCGTATTGGACAACATAAGGGAAAATTCAGTTCGAGTACATCTTCATCCCCATTTCTTTTAAGCTGGAAACAAAGTGCACGGGACTACTAGTCCCGTGCACTTCGTTGTCGAGAGAGCCTGCTGGAAACAAAGTGCACGGGACTAGTAGTCCCGTGCACTTCATAAAACCTTCACAATTGCAAAACCGACCCTTTTCTTTTGAAAAGGGTCGGTTTTGCCTATTTTTTTTCCACGGGGTCGATTTTGCCCAATAAAGTTGAAAAAGGGTCGGTTTCAAAAATTTGTCCATATTATAATTATTTACTTTAAATTTATTTATTTACTATAACATGGTTGTAAAAAAACTTTATAATTATTATAATATATTAAATTTTTTTGGATATTTCCATGTGTGATTTTAACATTTTGTGTTCCAGAAAAATAGTGATGTTTAAAGCCTTAAAATATTAATAATTTAAGATTAAATAGTAATTTCAATGTATAGTTTCAAAATATTAATGATGTAAGGGACCAATATGAAAAACTATTATTATTAATAAAAAATAAATTCTTGAGTTCATCAAGGAAAATTGTAGGTTTTATCTAGTCATTAAGGATTTTGTTCAGTTATAAAAAAATCACTTTAACCTGTTGTTTACTTTCACTTGTTGTTTATCTAACGATTGAGTATTATAAATATTCAAGAAAATTTTTCTAAAATTTTCTAAGTTAGAACGTGCAAATTCAATCAATAAAGAAAATATAAATTATGTGATCAATTCCAAAATCTGATGTTGTACTCTTTTTATATCTTTTCAAATACTAATTGATCTATCAAAACAATTACTCTCTGGTTTTAAAAAATTATAAAATATAGTCTGAGAATGATTTGTACATACTATGCACTCATATTGATTGAATTTTAATAAAATAATTTTATATCTATCCAATGTCAAACAACATTCAAAAATTTAACTTAAGGAGTTAGAAAAATATAATATCTGCAATAATAGTTATATCCAAGCTGTGAGCTTCATAAACTTATAAGAATATGAGCAATACAAAATGACAACTTAATATACTTTGTCAAATAATTTATTACAAATTATGAATGATAAGGAAAATCAGAACGATCATATACTCATCCTAAATAAATATTAAATTTCTCTTAAAGATTCTTATAGCAAAAGATTTGTAGAGTGGATGTGTAGGATAAATTTAATGACAGGTAACCCAAACTAATTCATTGAGTGATAGACTTGCTATAAACTCCACTCTTATAATATTGATATCACATGTGTCTTAAGTTGTGCTTTTGTTTAAGAGTTAGTTTTAGAAAACTCCCCCACAATTATGGAGGGCATGACAAACCCCAGGCAAAACTATTTAAGACTGAGTAAATCTCTGTCAAGTTTTGTAGATAATCTATCTCAACTTTAAAATTTTTGATTTAACCCTAGTGAACTTTTCTCACTTAAACCCAACCTCTCAAAACTAACATCATAAAATCTTATTTATTACGTGACAAGTACTTTACTTGAAAAGACCAAAATATCAATCAATCATAAAAGAATTACATTGGCTTTTGTCAGATAAAAGAGGTGATATAGAGAGAAAAATTGTAAATTGGTTGTGATCCTTTTATTGTCGGTTGAGGGTTTCTATTTAATTAAAATTACTTTCTTCAAGAGGGTATTTTTTCCAAATCATATATCGAAGTAACTATGTTAAGGGGGTTTGCTGATAGAAGTGTAAAAGATTAGGGGAGTTTTTATGAGATACGCTATAGTTAAGAGATATTTTCTAACATTGCACCAAAATTGAAAGGGTTATCATCCATAACACCTCACATAATGAGGGGGTTTTGTCAAATTAATCACTTGAGTGTGTTTTTTAAGACAATCCCCATAGTTGAGAGGGTTTTTTTAAAAATTAACACTTCTTTTAATATGGCTTATTTATAATTTGTCCCTCAAAATTTTAATAATTTAATACTAGTCCTTAAATTTATGCGCAATTTCAAAAATTTGTGGGAATAACATAGAATCATTGGATATTTAAAATCAATGAACTAATATCTAAATAAACTTTACATATTTACTCTTATAGGCACTCTATTAAATATTGACCAATACATTGCTATATCGGTCAATATATCGGGTTAAAGACTTTATCTTGCTAATATTTTATATTATTTTCTTTTGTTTGTTGACTTTTTTGATAAATCGACCATTATAAAAAATATGGCTGATATATCCCTTTGAAGATATCGAGAAAATCATGTTATTTTTTAATTTGATTACGGGCTGGGGTTTGGTACGGGCTGGGGTTTGGATCGTGTTTGGGAAATAAAATTAGAACCTGTAAAATCCACAAAGGTCATAATTCTCCTCCCAAATCTCTCCACTCTAGGCTCTCCCAAATCTTAAACATATATCTTGATGCAAATTCTCAATTCTCCTCCCAAATCTCTCCACTCTAGGCTCTCCCAAATCTTAAACATATATCTTGATGCAAATTCTTATGTTTAAACTTCATAAATAAGTTAGATTCTCTCCCAAATCTTAAACATATATCTTGATGCAAATTCTTATGTTTAAACTTCATAAATAAGTTAGATTACATATTACAATGTCATGTTATGTATGAATATTTACTCATATGACACCCAGTCTTAACATATCCCTAATTTTTGCTACCCGATATCATGGAATTTAGTTTTTCAATATTTATTTGATGTCAAACACTTTATACTAGTCCTTCAAAAGTCTCCTCTAAAGTTTTCTAAGCGAAGTATATAATTTTAAGAAATAATTCAAAATCTTGAGACTCATACAAAATATGATGCTTTACTTTTTTTTCACATCTCCTCTACTATATAAATATAAGCTAAGCATCTGGTCTCATATTGTATGATGAATATTATTTGTCAATAGGAACATATACTATTGTTTATAGATAACAAAAGTTTCAAATCTTTTCTAGGCTTAACTAAACTTAAATACCTTATAGTTAACCAAAATTATATTTATATACCTCCATTTGCATCTTGCTACACTTTTTTAAAATTTTAGATAATGTATCTTGATGCGCTTAAATGTCCTAATGTTTTCTAAAATTTAATGATTGTACCTTCTGTCTTGTTACCTAAATATAAGAATACTCTTTGTAATTTTCCTATATGAGTTTTATGGTATAATTTTAGGATAATTCTATGTTTTCTATTATTTCCATAACTACTTTATTGACATGCAATTATCTATTAATATATTATTATACATTACTAATAATTAATATGATGTAGAGTTTTATAATAACGTTGGAAGTTCTAAAGATCAAATTATGCAAACTTAAAGTGACATATAATATAATTAATTAACGATGATAATTAATTTAGTTTAGTTAGTATTAGAATGTAATATCAAAAGAGAATAGGGGTAATATAGTTCTAGGCTTAACTGAACTTAAATACCTTGTAGTTAACCAAAATTATATTTATATACCTTCACTTGTATCTTGCTACACTTTTTTTAAAATTTTAGATAACGTATCTTGATGCGCTTAAATGTCCTAATGTTTTCTAAAATTTAATGATTGTACCTTCTGTCTTGTTACCTAAATATAAGAATGCTCTTTGTAATTTTCCTATATGAGTTTCATGGTATAATTTTAGGATAATTCTATGTTTTCTATTATTTCCATAACTACTTTATTGACATGCAATTATCTATTAATATATTATTATACATTACTAATAATTAATATGATGTAGAGTTTTATAATAACGTTGGAAGTTCTAAAGACCAAATTATGCAAACTTAAAGTGACATATAATATAATTAATTAACAATGATAATTAATTTAGTTTAGTTAGTATTAGAATGTAATATCAAAAGAGAATAGGGGTGATATAGTCCTTAGAAAGTTTTTCCACAACTCCCTCTTTTAAAGGGAGTATGATATGATATGATATGATATCCACAATAATAATAATAGCAACAATGTTATATTGTTATGAATCCAAAGAACAGTATACTGAACATTCCAGAATACCTGAATCATTCTCTTCCATTCCTTTTGAATCTCAAGGGTCTTCAGTGCCTTCTTAACTACAATCAATGGGAACTCCAACTCCCAAGCTACAAATGAATCAAGAGCTCCGTATACTTCCTCCTTGACATTTGATAATCCTTTGACCTGTAGAGTAAATAGCAACATAAACATAAAGACTCAAAGCCAGCAAAAACATTTTAAACAAAGTTAATAACTAATAGCAGAGAAGAAACATTATATATGATGTAACGTAAGGAATGGTTACTTCTTAGTTCTTACAGCATTACACTTCCTTTTAATGATATGCATAGAACCAAAACATATCGCAGTTAATTTGCCTCGACTTGCTTAAAGTTATTAAATAAGAGAAAAGAATAGGGAGTAACTTGAATTCTGAATATTTTTCCAGTGTCATTTGATAAGGTAACATGATTGAATATTTACCAAGGGACTATTACGCCTTGTCATCTTTTAGCCTCATTTGTAGGAAGCATTCATACATAAAAGAAAATATGAACAAGGATCTATATACAGCATATAGGTCTATCCATTATTATCGTCCATATAATCATTGTATTTTCGATAACATTCAATCTTACAAATGCAAGAAATATCAAAAGGTTGGCGTCAAATGGAAGATACAGTGCAATTGCTGCATATGGAAACATAAAAAAATATTCAAAGTATTCATGATATACACTACATAGACCTGTAAGTTACACTTTGGTTAATTATAACTTCCATTACTAATAATATCCCATGTCTGCTTTATTGTAGTACCATTAAACTAATTAAATGACGAATAATCTTACACAATCGACAAGCTTCTGTGATTTGGAGATGGTGCCAATTCTCTTCCGAGATTTCCATACGCGAGGGTATCTCGGTCTTGGACCCCTTGCACCACATACCTGACATACATGAATAGAACCACATGTTAGTCAAGTGACAAGAAAAAGATCAATGAAAAATCATATTACCATACAAATAGTAGTGAACATGAAGGCTCTCATGTATGCAGATTTCTAGACTCAAACAAATAATTAATGCGTAGCTCAATTCAATTAACTGAGTTTTAAAATGAGAAAGCAAGTGATTAAGTACCTAGTTGAAAACTGGTACTAAAGCTTCTACAAATGCTTCAAGGAGAACTCCTATACTATCGCAAATCAGACAATTGACATAATAAAATGCAACCTTGGGTTGATCTATATTGCTAAGAATTCTTTGAAGAGTGAGATCATGGTCAATTGGAGAACGATTTACATAGAAAAAGGGCATGCACATGCACATAGCAAATGGAGATAAGGAAACACACCTCATGCTTCCATTACATTTATCTCATGGGCAGCAGTCATTGTTTAGCTACTGGAAAGCATGGTTTGACAAGACGGCCAACAAATTTACAAAGAACACCAAAACTAAACTCCTTTTTTTCAGATAAAGAGAAGATATGCCAAGTTTTATTAATTTAGAAATCACCTAATGTAGGAAGTGGAGATCATGGAGTCATAGCTTGCCATCATGTATAGCATTGAATCTAGACTAACTTCATTTCTTGAATTTGGAACATGGATGTTAAGTTTTTGTATTACAAACATTGCTGCATCTCCTAACAGTTTTCCATAACTCTGACAATTAACCACCAAAATATAATTTACGAGTATAAATATGTCATTCTCTACCATCTAATGCAGGAACTATATCTTATGAATACTTGCATTTCTTTTTTGTTCATAGGAATCTCACCTTTATCAAACATTCAATATAAACGTGTTTGTCAGTGTTACTAGTTGTGCTTGTGTCTATTCTACTCACTAACATACAAGGCACATGATTTTACAAGTGATACAACTAATGTGCATGCATTCACCTGTGCGATACTATTGTTTATTGTATAATTTAGGTGGGTAAACAGCTATTGGAAAAAAATAATTCAAGAGCTGGAAAACTCAATAAGGGAACTCACCACTAGAGTACTGAACTTTTGGGGAACATTGATCACTTCCAATCTTCTTCTTATAATTGATGGTGGTGGATATTTCAGGCTTAGCATCCTGAACATCTTAATAAATCATTTATGGAAAGAAATGTCCATACCGTGATAAAGATAAAAATGTTAAAGAAATATCAAAACGAAATCAGAGCAAGTCCCTTTTAGTTTAATCCCCATTAGCTAGCCCCATAGTCCAACCGGAGAGCAACAGGATACTGAATTGAATAATGATCAGGAAACACGGCCTATTCATATGAGTTTATATATTTATCTCTTGGCATGCTTGCAGGTAATGGATTAAAGAAAACTCCAAATAGATATATCTTCGTTATCAAGGCGATTACTCCACTCAACCTTAAGAAGGGTCATTTCCTATCATAAGCTCAGGTTACTCTTTCACGCCAAAGAAGCCAAGCTTGATAACAAGAATCTAGTAGACTTTACAAGTAAAGTGGAGATTCACTTTCAATCATAGTTAAGGAATAAGGCTATCGACTTTATAATTCTTGATCAAAATCTATAGAAACCTAGGATAACTGACCCCTAATTGCGGTCTTTTAGAAGGAGAAACCTAATCCCTTATAAACGCATAACTGACTCCATATTTAGTCAATGTGCGACTAAATGGGCCCTAACGTACCACTATGTTTCCACAGTCCTAGCACCCATGCGGGCTGGTTTTTCACTAGTCTAGTTCGGGTTGAACACTGCAATTCCCGTGTCACTCCTTTAGCTTTGCACTAGATTAGTCTGCACCATTCGCTTGCAACTAGGAAGATGAGATTGGCTCTAATACAATTTGCAAGAGTCCTAGAAGAAGTCACCCCTAAAAGCTAGGGATTAGACGGAGGAAACCCAGAATCTCTTACAAACCCATATATAGTGGCGGATCCAGAAAATTTTTCTTGGAGGGGTGGACGACTGGTATCTATTTACCTAACAATATAATACAAATAATAAAACTATAGTACACAATGTGAATGTACTCGATACACTTTATCAGCTACATCGTATCGTGTTTTGCAATGTGATAGATAAACAAACATGAGTATTTTTCACTAATTTACTTTCACTAATGAAATCTAAAGATGTATACTTGCTAGTTAAAATACTCTACAAAATCCAATTCTTTTTTATGGAAATTTATGTTGGGGTGGTTAACAAGAACCTTTTAGTAAATAAGTTCTTCGAATATCATCTCGGTCATTTGGGTGATACTCTAAAATACTCGGTCAAGTTCACTCCGTTGCTTTGGTTTGTACTAGTTTGTGAATTCTCAAGGTTGTTTAAACCTGGAATAGGTGATTGTTGCTCTTGCTCAAACTTTCTCTTGAAATATCTATCCATCACCGGGAAATTTTTTTTAAAGCAAGATAATCAACAAAGTTCTTCCAATTCACTTTTCCCAAATACATAAATAATAAGTTCTAGCTTAAAAAGAACAACTAAATTTAACATGAAGTGCATTTCTTCTCTTATGGATTATCAAACATCACCATTCACCAACTCTTTTAAGCCAGCAAAAAATAAAAAATAAAAAATAAAAAAAGAAGATTCACTCACCAAATCACAAGGACATAAACAGTTATTATGAGGAGATTTATAGGCCAATTAAAATTCATGAAACTACAAGTCATCTCTTCTACCTTTTCCCCTTTTTTTCTAAGTATAAAAAGAAAGCTGATATTTTTCTAGTAATTTAATTTGGGTAATTTTATGAGTTTTTCGGTTTTCGGATCTTTACCTAGGGTTTGGACGGATTGCTGGAGGAGACGAGAAGGCTCGAATGCGGCGACGCGGGCGGCAGTGCGGCGGTGGCCGACGGGGGGACGCTACTTTTCTGAGGCTACAGAGAGAGAGAGAGAGAGAGAGAGAAGCTTTGGTAGTGGATAAATGGCTGTCGGGTTTAGTATTTGGGCCTCTGGTAAAGTTATAGTACATGGGCCTACTAAATTTCAGAAGGATTAAATCTAAATGAGTTATGTGATTCTATAAGATCTGCCGGGCTGGGCTGGGCTGGGGTTCAAGGAGCAAAATTATAATATTGCTAGGGCGGGGTACGTATGAAACGTCAACTTTATAGTTTTCTAGTGCCAGGCATAGTAACAAGCACCATAACATGTCTTCAAGAATCAAAGATACGCCTGTTACCCATTATGCTCTGACAATTTTGTCAATATATGTTGATTTGCAAGAATGGTTCTGATACCGCTCGTTAAGTTGAGAGAGTTGATGGACAATAAAAAATATTTTATTATTATTTTTAGTAGTACGACCTTCAAGACTCTCTATAATGCAAACGCTCTCTCTATTTCATACTACTGCATTACTATACTCTTTCGAAAGCACTCGAATCTTTTTCTTTTCCTCTTTATTTCTCTCTCTTTGTTTTTCTCTTGCTGTTAGGATGCATTCAATTCCGACTAAACCTGAGGGGATTTATATAGACTAAGCTATGTGGTTGGTGCACGTTATACAAGGGTGGATGGTTACTATATGGTTGGTGGTTTAGTATGTGGAGCTCTTGGTATGTGAGAGAGAAGTGTTGTCGATTTTACCACTCCTGATCAGCAGCAACTTCTCTATCCATGAGTCCAAGAGCTATAACATCTTTTTCAATGCTTGAATATCTGCTCTCATTGTTTGTCTCCATTCTTCACTCTCGTATGCTTCTTTGAAGGTAGATGGTTCCTTCACATCTTCCATAATGGCGACATTAGCATACTTAGGATTTGCTTTCTTAGGCCTGGTCGATCTACGAAGCTATCCAACTGGCTCTTCTTCAATATCTTACATCTGACTCGAGTGTTTCTCTTCTGATGTTATTTGATGACACCAATCTTCTATAGATTCTTTTCCTTCAGAGATGTGGAATAACTTTGTTCTATTTTCTTGGTTTGGCTCCCCTAACTTCTTCTGTAACTGATCCTCTAGATCATTAGAGTCTGGGAGCACAACTTTATATAGAGTCCACCGAGAGGAGGATTCGTCAAACACTATCTTCCTCGACATGTAGCATCGTCTAGTTGTGAAATATAACATCTCCATCCATTTCTGTTATTGTCATACCCTACAAAAATGCACCTCATGGCCTTCTTATCGAACTTGCTACAAAGGTGATTAGGCATAAAGACATAACACACATAACCAAAAACTCTAAAATGACTTACTGTTGATTTAATATTCCACAGCTTCTGAAAAAGGTGACATGAACTCTAATTTGGTTGTGGTAGTCGATTGATCATATGCCTCGTAGTTTTCATACAATCCACCCAAAAACGTCTTGGCACGTTCTTGGCATGAAGTATGCTTCTGCAAATTTCGAAGAGATGATGAGTATTCTTTTCTACTACATTGTTCTGCTGTAGAGTGTAGGCGTCAAAAAATGCTAATAGATATCCCAAGCATAGAGAAGATCACTAAAAAATTCACAAGAAAAGATTTCATACTGTTTTGGAAAAATCAAAACAAGTATGAACTGTCTCGCCAGCGAGACAGTCTTTGCTGTCTCGCCAGCGAGACAGTGTTGAAATAGTCAAAACTACATTTGTAACTGCCCTACACGTGTCCATTAACTGCCAAGGGACGTGGGAAACATCATGGGCGAAAATCACGTGGATAACTGCCAAAATAACGGAGTTTGAAACGTGGGAGAACAGTTACAGCGAGAAACTGCCATTTTCCGAGACAGCATTTACTGTCTCGCTGAGCGAGACAGCAAATTTACTGTCTCGCGGGTCGAGACAGCAAACGCTGTCTCGCCCAGCGAGACAGTAAACACTGTCTCGCCGTACTGACTTCTTCGATTGTTAAGTCTTTGCAGTTACAGACCCCAGAGGCTATAAATACCCCCCTAGGGTCACTTCTGACGAGGATCGAGCATTTGTTAGAGCATTCCAGAGCAGAGAGAGCAGAGATTTGAGTTCTTTTCTTGCAACGCCTTGAAATTAAGCTTCGACTTGATTTTAAGAAGAACGACTATCTTACTTCGATAAGATATCGTTTCAATTTCTACTTCGATAACGAAGTTAGAATCATAAGCCCCCTCTTCACGATCTGTGAATCGGCGGTCCACGAACCAAAGCGTTCCCGGCACAGGCAAAGTCCCACGAAAACGAGAATTGATAGACGATTTTCGTGTTTGTTTCTCAAGAGTTGTAATTTTTGTTTTGTTGTGTAGAATCGTAAAGTCTGGATGCCAAAGACGCCGCAAGCATCTGTTCCGGGCCCATCTACTGCGTCGTCGGTGAAACCCTGGGTTAGCCCAGATTTGTCTAAGTTTAAAGTGACAATGGCAGATCGCCTCGGTCCTTCGGTTGACGATCGAGGCAAAGCCCCAGTTAAACAACCATCAGATGCTGCAAATAAACCCATAGTGGTTTCATATGCAGGGGGTCGTAAACACCCACCTGTCAGAACCTCACAAGTCCAGAACGAGAGAATACCAGTTCACTCTCGTTTAGGACCTATGAAAACTCCACTCCCGCAAGGGGGTGGATTCAAAAATTCAACTTTGGATCGCTCAGAGGCGACGACCAGTCGTCCTATGTATGTTAACAAAGTTCAGAGGCAAAGGATAGGTTGCTCGAATCACAATAATGACGAGCTGTACTATCAGAAGAAGAATTTAAGAAAGAGGATTGTCCGAGAGAATGAGTCCCATTGCGCTTGCGAGAGACTCATCAAAGCAGTGCTGACAGAATGCGGATGCTCTAAGAATAATTCAACAAGAGTCTCCGTATTTCAAAGATTGTCCAATGAAGCGTCAAAACCCAAAATGAGACGTTTCAACAAGAAAAAATCTGTAATCCAACGAGATGAATTCCCTGAGGTCACTATCAACATGACCAACAAAGGAAAGAAACAGTTAGTTAACCCCGACCCTGATTTCTCTCCGGGAGGGAGAGTTGAGCAGGGTCTTTCTCAAAGGATGGCGCGATTACAAAGAAGAGCCAACCTACGACGAGATTACAAGAGAATGCACGAGGGGTTATCTTCGGACGAAGAATTATCAGACACTTGTTCTGCTGTCGCTTCTGACGACACCACATCCAGTGTTGGACAAGCCAGAGAATCATTTGCAATTACGCCAGATCAATTGGCTCACATGCTGCAGGAAGCGTTGGCTAAACAACGCGAAGAAATTAGAGCTGAGTTCAAAACCGAAATGGAGTTGACTATGCAGCAGATGCGGGATTTGCAGGTTCAGCAACACCAACCGGAATCAAGCCAAAGAGCAGAATCCAGTCGGCGTAATGAAGAGGATGAGACGATATTTGAAGATCCTCCTCCAGATAAAGACAACTCCGGAAGCGATCCGACCAAGTCAGCCACTCAACCTCCACAGATCTATTTGAAGAAAAGCGAGGAAGAGGACAAGAAGATGCACGATCTTGAGAGCAAAGTCAACGCTTTGATGACGGCTCAAGAAGTGAAGAAAACGGGCATCCCATACCCGTACCCGAGGGAGTGGGACCTGATTCCTTATCCCCAGAAATTTAATTTGATTAACTTTACTCCTTTTGATGGCAGGGGTTCACCAACTCAGCACTTGATCTATTTCAAGTCGCATCTCGGCGCAATATCTGGGAACGAAGCCCTGATGGTCCGGTCATTCGTAGGAACCCTTCGCGGGCCTGCCTTCGATTGGTACCGACGCCTTAAGCCTGGGAGTATCACTAGCTGGGCAGACATGGAAGAGTTATTCCTCACCAATTTCTTCGACGACGACACGGAAGTCTCGATCGGCACGTTGTTGGATGAGAAGCAGAAGGATGGGGAATCGGTTGATGTCTTTGTCAAACGATTCCGGGACAAAGCGGTGAACTGCAGAGATCCACTCACTGAGGAATTTATTCTGCAAACATGTCATAATAATCTGTCCTTGGATGTATTAGAAGTGGTGGGGGTTGTTCCCTCTAAAACTTGGAAAGAGATGAAAGTAAGAGGTGAACAAGCTGAACGCTTCCTCAAGAGAAAGAATTTGGAGCGAGGTTTGCCACCAGCTAATAATCAGAATCAAAATCAAAAGCAGAACTTTAACCCTCGAGGCAGAGGAAGAGGGTCTGTAGCCGCTGTGGACGCACATCAGACGTCACAACAGCCACCGCAACAACCGCAACAATCATCCTTCCAGTTGGCGCCAAACCAGAATCAACAGCCTTCGAAGCAGTTTAAGAATTCTGAGCCCAGATTCCCAAAGGAATACTCTTTCAAAGATGATGAAGTTCCGGTCATCTTCAAATACTTGTTAGAGAACAACAAGATCAAGCTTCCACCGGTCACAAACCAAGAAGAAGCAACGAAGATCAATGACCCAAAGTATTGTGCATATCACAGAAGGGTCCACCATCCTACTAAGACATGTTATGTTTTAAAGGATAAAATTCAAACATTGATTGATGTTGGTATTGTGACACCGAAGCCAAAGGAGAAGAAGGTAGGCGCAAACGCGGTCTCTATTAGCTTCGGATCGGTTCCTTTGTCCTGGTTTCAAGCCGAGCCAGTATCAAAGGTCAAGATGCAAACCATCAACGATGACCCTCATGGACAGCGCCAGAAGGGGCTCGTATCTCACACAGCCCCCAACGGCGAAATCCTTTGGGTTCATCCGGATTTGCTTGAAGATGAACAGTGGACGACACCCACATCAAAGAAGAAGTCAAAAGGCAAGGGAAAGGAGAAGTCCTGCTATGGAGCCTCGGCGATTCCCGAGAAGAACGATGAGGATATAGCAGCTTTATCACTTTCTGATGGAGAACAGGAAGTTTTTGCTACAAGAAGTGGAAACGAGTACCATTATAGGTATCCGGAAACCTCAGATCCAAATGCCAAAACTCTTACGGAGCTGGGGGTAGCCATAACTCCACCAGTAGCAGCTG